TTGCGCAAAGTGGGCTGTCCCATGCATGATCAATTTCACCTTCATTTGAGGAAGTCGCCATTAATTATAGCTGGATTTTCAGAATGCAGCAAACTACCAGAAGTGGTAATGGTGTTCAACGTCACTGAATTCAGCCTTACGCCCGTTATGTCTGAAAGAACCCTTGTCCTTTAGCGAGGACACATCGCCACACATACGGGGAGACGCACACTTGTGGCGCATGCTTCCCTTAGCTGTTGCTCGAGAGATATACGACCACGACTCATCATGCCAAACAGAGCACCTGTTGACATGCTCATTAAATTGTGCGTTTCGAAGAACTGCGTCGATCAACCTGGGCAACAGGCAACCCCCTGTTACTGAAAGGGTATTTATGGCGTATCCTGCGCCTACTATCGTCCAAAATAGTTGTTTCTGTGAGAAAAGCAAATGGTCCAAATCGTGGAACTTCGTGAGGCATAGCATTTATGAATTCGACCCACGGCCCCGTCAGCACATTTTCCCCCAAAAGCTGCAGTGTGCAGAAGACGATATCCACCATCAGAAAACGCAGTCCTAGCTTCGCAACTGCACGAGACATCGCCCATGCAACAGGGCGCCTTTCGTGCCTCACGCAATGAGAAATTATACGTTCAGTAAGACCAATCAGGGTGTGGAGTTCTCCCGTCGATATCGTTTGAGGCGAAAGCAGCCCTTGGGCATGCCACACAGAAGGGAAAATACGTTGGGCGGAGTGCACAACCGAAAAAGCCCGGCCTGCATTAAGTGTCCGCAAACCCATATGCGACTGCAGAAACGGAATGTGATAAAAAGCTTGCTCGAATAATGCTTCTCGGACACTAAGAGAAAGACTCGATGCATCCGACTGCACTGGATGGGCCAACATAACTGACTCGTGCACTTGTTTGCACTGGATGGGCCAACATAACTGACTCGTGCACTTGTTCCTGGGCATATCCCCCCTCAAACGTGTGGAGTTCTCCCGTCGATATCGTTTGAGGCGAAAGCAGCCCTTGGGCATGCCACACAGAAGGGAAAATACGTTGGGCGGAGTGCACAACCGAAAAAGCCCGGCCTGCATTAAGTGTCCGCAAACCCATATGCGACTGCAGAAACGGAATGTGATAAAAAGCTTGCTCGAATGATGCTTCTCGGACGCTAAGAGAAAGACTCGATGCATCCGACTGCACTGGATGGGCCAACATAACTGACTCGTGCACTTGTTCCTGAGCATATCCCCCCTCAAACGGGCCCTCAGATAATGTCGAGCCCTGGTCAGAAAACGCTTGGGTGCCCATTGGCTCAGCAGAGCTGTCGCTGCCGAACACCGAAGCTGAAGACAGTTGCAGTAAGGCGGCGGCGGCTGCAGCTTCAGCGGGAGTCCGCCGGATACTCGATTCAGCATGCTCGACTGTCGACGGCAGCAGTTTTGGCTCCCCTAGTTCATGAGCGGCTGACTGTGGCGAGGCAGCTGGCAATCTGTACATGGGAGCCTTGCTACTTTCGCCTTCATTGCTCTCCTTCTGTTGTGTGTGTGCAATCTCCCTCGTCAATTTCAACTCAATCAAGGGAACGCCAGCGAAATGGCTTTGCCCACTAACATAAGATGCGCCATCAGAACCTGTCGGTGTCAGTCTTACACACATGCTCGATGTACTGGGCTCCTGGCCTTTTGTTTCCGATAGCCGACGAGAGCCAAGCCCTTTTCCTAGCGCCTTCTTCTGCTCTTGTGCGCATAGTGATATCAGCAGAGCGACTGCTACAACGGATACTAGTACTGTTAGCAAGGCCAGCCCACACAAACCTGGGCGGCATGACCAACATGAATAGTTGCGAAGATTGCGGCGATCAACAATCCTTGGCCCTGCAAATGTACGCCCTTTCTTTGTAGTAGTAGCACTCAACAAATCCACTCCTTCTGGCATATATGCACCGAGGTGATCATGCGGCACCTGCATTCCTGTAGGTAAGTACGGTCAGGAGC